AGTGACTTGTTTCCAGAAAAGATTGCAGAGTTGCTTCTGAGGTGCCATGCTAGAAGAAAGCCCTTCTGGCACTAGATGTGAATCACATGAGCATTCCTTCCATCCCAAGGCAAGTGTGGCCAGCCTTCCAGTGCTGCTGTATATCTTGTCATGGTGGGAGAAGCCCACCCTAATAAGCCTATCCCTGATGTCCACCCCCATCCCCTCCGAGCAAGAGAATAGATGTTCTTTCAAGACCATTTATTGGGCACTATTATTGCACCAAATTTGGTCGAAGTCAGTCAGTTACTTTGAATGACAGCCATACATAAGCCTTCTGAAATACAATGATTCTGCTGAAAGTGGCCTCATTTTGCTTGTCAGAGTTCTTATGAGTTCATTTCCACATCTAGTGAAGAAGAAAGAGAACTAGGTACCTTTGAACAAAATAGATTTGTGTTCTTGGGCAGTTGGTCTCAGGAAGGCACAAGTATTGAAATTATTATAGGAAAAAAAGTAGATGGTGAAGTGAAATCATACCTCCCCTCTTATGCTCTACAACTTTCTCCTAAATCCCTGATTCAGGAGCCCAAAGGGACAGAAAGAATACTAACATCAAAAAACTGGCTATTCTATTGTATCCATGTAACTTGAATGACGTTTAGAGATTGGATCTTGAGCATTGGCAGCCATCAATGAATAAACTTTTATTGAACCAATCAATGTATTAGTGGAGCTAGAAGATATGAATGGTGATGGGTGGGAGTGGTAAGGACTGGGTGAAGCCATTTTTTTTTCCCACCAATGCTAAGTATAACAAACACTTAACAAATTTAGATCTACAAAGAGTTCTTTGCCATTAGGTTATCTCTTCTCTCTTCCTTCTACGCTCTCTCCCTTATTCATTTCCACAACTTTAAATATTATCTCATCTCTAAGTGATTGACTTTCAAATTTCAAATTTATTTATTTATTTATTTTCTTCTAGGGGCTAGGTAATGGGGTTAAGTGACTTGCCCAAGGTCACACAGCTAGTAAGTGTTAAGTGCCTGAGGCCAGATTTGAACTCAGGTCCCCTTAATTCCAGGGCCGGTGCTCTATCCACTGTGCCACCTAGCTGACTCGACTCCCAAATTTCTATCTGTCAATTGGACATATCCAGTTGTCTTCCAAACATCTCTACCTGCCTTTCCTTTAGAGTTTTTCATTAAAAAATTAAATTTTTTTTGTCCTTTCCTTCTCATTAACACCATCATGACTTTATTGTAGGTCTGAACTGTTACAATAACCCCCAGTGGGTCTCCTTGCCTCTAGTTTTTCCTTTCTCAAAATTCAATATGCCTCAACCTAAACTTACTATCAGCCTCTTAGAATCTACTTCTTCCTCCTAACCTCCCTATTTCTATTGATGGTGACATCAACATTTTGACACCCAGGCTCAAAAACTTAAGAGTCACTCTTGACTTCTTTGTGGAGGCAGGTAGGTGGTACAATGAATAGCGCTCTGTGCCTGGAGTTAGGAAGACTTGAGTTCAAATCTTGCCCCCCAGACAAGTTACTTAACCTATGTTTGCCTCAGTTTCTTCAACTGCAAAATGGGATAACAGCACCTACCTCACAGGCTTGTTGTGAGGATCAAATAAGATAATATTTGTAAAGTGCCTTGCATATAATAGGTGCTATATAAATACTTATTCCTTTCCCCTTTATGCCCAGGGCCCAATCAGTTGTCAAATCCTGTTGAGTTTATCTTAAACATGTTATACCTTTCCCTTCCTTTCCATTCTCATCATTACTTTAGTGTGGGCCTGAACTATGACAATAACCCCCAATGGGTCTGCTTGCTTCTCTAGTTTCTCCACTCCCAATCTACCTTCCAAATTATTGAAAGATTAATCTTTCTAATCACATCTACCTATTGCTCAAAAACTATTCTGTGGCATCCTTTGCCTGTAGAATAAAGTCCTAACTCTTTTTCTGATGCTCATAGCCCTCTTCAGTAGGCTGGTATCATTCTACCTTTCCATTTCCATCACCCAATATTCCTTTTCACATCCTCTGCCCTAGAGGTCAAATTGGCTCCTCAGCATTGCTCAAACATGACTCATGCTGTCCTGCCTCTTATGCCTGGAATGACTTCTGCTCTCCACGTTGCAATCCCCCCATGCCCCCATCTCTCCTGGTTGGAATTATCTCTCCTTCTAAGTCCAGCACACATGCCACATCTACCATTTTGTTTTGGAATTTGGTTATATACATGTCTAGATTGGAAACTCGACTTGAGGGGCTAGTATTTTTTTTTGTTCCATCTATGGTTAGTGTAGTGCTTTAAACATAGCAGGCATTGAACTCTTGCTCAATTAAAGTTTCACAGAAAAAAATTGTGAGAAACAGTTAATAAGGATTCCTGCAAACCACATTGACTGCTAGATCTCTATTAACATACTTATAGCCAGACAGTAGAAAGAAAGCAATTATTCATGACTAGAATATGTAAAGACAAAAAAATTTTTTTTTACCTTGACTGCTTTTAGTCATGAGACTGTATTTCTTAAAGGGGGAATTTTTTTTACATTAGGGAATTTATAAGTCCCTTGGCCCTGAACTTTTTTTTTAAGTAAAAGATGTTATAGAAATATATTTTGCATGATTGCACATGTATAACCTATATCAAATTGCTTGCTGTCCCAGGAATGGTGGGGAGGAGAGAGGGAGAGAATTTGGGATTCAAAATTTAAAAAAAACTAATGTTAAAAATTATTTTTGCATGTAATTGGGGAAAAATATTACTCTGAAGTAAAGGGTATTGCGGTGATTGAATTCCTGGTAGGTGACACTGTTTACCCCACTATATTCAATGAAGTCGGTAGAAAGGGCATCATTTTAAAACATGAGGAAATCTTGAGAGCAGGATGGTCCTCATGACCTTAAGTATCTCTGCTATGTCTTTCTCCTTAGGGTGACTGTTTTGGGTGCTTCTTACTTGTGTCTCCTAATAGCTACAACAGACTGAAGTTGGAAGACAGCCTAAGTGCCTCAAAATGCTCTTAATTTACCCTGCCAGGCACTTAAATAATAGGTTAAAGAGCATACTTTGGTCTGAAGAGATTCTCTTTCCTTTGAAGAAATTTGACCAAAACAAACTGTTCTGCCTGAATTCACCATCAGATTTTTTTGGGGGGGGGGCAGGCGGTGAGTGACAACCAAAGATGAGGACCTTGGTCAGCAGATCTGTAAATAATCTGAAATCTACTGGAACAAGAGGACTGAAGAACATTTAAAAATTTTCCAAACATGTAAATAAACCAGCCAACCTCATGGCAAAAACTTCTGTCATGAAACCGAAAACACTTAACTCTGATACAATTTTGCCTTGTAGTTTAACCAAGTGGTTATATTTGTACTGGAATCAATACCATGAAAACCTTGATTAATCAGAGAGCCCTATTTTTGTTTCAATTTTTGTTGTTTAAAAATATATATTTCTGCAATATATTAGTCTGTTGGGGGTAAGCATGCTAACCACTACGTAATCTTCCACTGGGGATTATTCAGAAGAGATCCTAGGGCTCTGAACTTGAAGGGGTTCTTAGTGAGAATGTAGTTTATGTTTTGAAGAAGCTAAAACCAAGAGATGTGCCTGAGTTCACACAGGTGGAAAGCAACAGAGATGAGGTTTGAAGCCAGGCCCTCTGACCTCAGATCTGGGATCATGCTGTCTCCCTGTTGTTGTGCTCAGAGTTATTTTCAGAATGTTGGTAACTACATTATCCTATAATCATTGAACTAGAAGGGACCAAACCTTTCACTTTGTGAGCAGAAACTCAGACCTATAGAGGGTAAGTTTCACGGTGGATAAAGTAAATGCCCAAGGTCATAGTGAGTTAAGTATAAGAGCTGGTACCACAATCCAGATAGCTAGATGCTTGGTTCAGGACATTTTTCACTCTACACTCTGTCTCACATCCATTCTGTAGATACAGAAAATTCAGGAGATCTCACTAAATTTGTAGAGCCCAGGTACACCTGGAGCCCCGATGTCCAAATAAATTCCTATTTTCAGTTTCCTAATCATTTTTCTTTTTCTCGTGAAAGGGTGTAGTAGAAATCACAGCTATGGTGATTTCCCAATAAGAGCAGCTAGGTGGTGCAGTGGATAGAGTGCCTAAGCCTGGAGTCCAGAAGACCTGGGTTCAAATCTGGCCTCTTAGACATTTTTTAGCTGTGTGACCCTAGGCAAGTCACTCAACCCTGTTTGTCTCAGTTTCCTCAACTGTAAAATGAGCTGGAGAAGGAAATGACAAACCACTCCAGTGTCTTTGCCAAGAAAACCCCAAACGGGGTCATGAAGAGTTGGACATAACTGAACAACAATGAGGGCCCAGATGAATCAAGGTTTTACAGTATACACATTCTATGTTTCTCAGTTTTTCAGAACATCCAGACAATAATAGAACCTTCCCAAGCAAAAGCTCCCTTATATCATATCCTTTTAATCACTTGGAAATTACCTCATATAGTTAGCCAGTCCAAAAAGCAAAATACCAGTATTTTAACTGGTCTTTTTGCATGAGGCCTCTATTAAAACTTGACATGTGACAATACATCCCTTGCCAAGGGTGATGTGATGGTCTGAAATATGGCCAAAAGTCCAAAAGTGACATAGAAGGCTCCAGATGCTACCCTTTGGGCCAACCTGTGGGGCAGCTGGTGGTGCTTTTTCTTCAGCCTGGGCTTCTCTTCCTGGCCGTTCACCAGATCATCCCAACGCCATCTGGTACATGAAGTATCATAAAACCATGAGAATTCCCTCCATGATTTAAACAAATGAACAAAAATCCAAATGTAAAATGCTCTCTTTTTAATTACTAAATTAAGAAAGTTAAACAATTTAAAAATGTAAACTTGCAAAGAAATCATAACAAAAAAGTAATTAAGACTCCAAAATTTGCAACTCAGTATTAAAAACTCAATAGAAATAGGAAGTTTTTTTTTTGTCTGTTTTTGTGTTTTGTTTCTGGTTTTTTTTTTTTTTTCATTTGCTTGTTTTCATTTTTTGGTTAAACATAAGTAATTCAAGGCTGGTACAAATAGACAACGAGAGAACATAATACTTTGTTCTGTGCATCCCCATGAAACGTAAAGAAGTGCATAGTAATTCCACTGGAGAACTCTCAGACATAGAGAAAGGAATTTCATTAGCAGTACAGGACATTTAAAACATATATTTTACAATGGGAAATGGTGCACGAATCTCCCCCAGAAAATCCTATCTGCATGATAAACAGTTTAGCGGGTTGACATGACTAAAATGCTATGGGTTTTAGACCATTAAATGTGGTTACAATGTTTATTAAATTAAAAAAAGTTTTTGAATTATTTCAGTATACAGAGTTTTATACAAGGAGTACTGTAGCATCTATCTTCCAATTCGGCTGGTCATATGGTGTGTTTTCTTGCTTCAATAGGTTCACTCTTGTTTGAAGAACAAATCCTATAAAACATGGCTGTCAAACATTGGGAACATTACCATAAACCCAGCATGTGGGTCCTGAAAGGAAGAAAAGTTACAACCATCTACAGGTACAGTCAGAAACGAACAAACGAAAAAGTGCAATCCAATTAAAAAATATTCATGCTTGGCAAAAGCCAAAAATTAGACCACTGGTTTTCAGAATAACACCAGTGTTGTCTTTTTTTTTTTTTTTTCCTTTTTAAACGTTTGCAGTAAAATTACCACTCTCTGGGTACTGCAACCATGCGGCCCATTGTTTGGCAACAAGTTTTCTGCAGTAGTACCCACATACTATATGTACAGGTATGTATATATTATATATATATTTATATTTATAAAACAAAACAAAACAAAAAAACAAAAAACAAACACCTGTCCTGATTTTCTTTAGTTAAAACATGAAAAAAAAGTTTATTGTTTTAGACAAAGAGGCCACTTCTGGAAAATAATACTTTTCGTTTTTTTTGTTTTTGTTTTTTTTAGTTGAATCAGGTGAAGACAGTTAAAATCACATAAGATTTGCATTTAAAAAAGGAAAGCACTAGGGTCAGTTATTGGCACTGAGTAACTATTTACACTGAATAGAGGTTTTGCCGTTTACATAACATCGATACAATGCATTTTCAAAAGTCTTTTGAGAAGTGAACAAGTTTGTGTCTCTCATTCTTCACAGAGGACATTCAGATTTGGGGACAAGTGGTCATCGATGAGGGGTGTGGCTGTTCTTCAGACTCACATGCACTCTGGTCCTGGAAGATTCCCCACTGCTGCAAGAGCAGTGGGCTACTGGATTGGAAGCTAAGAGGGAGGGGAGTGGCCACCTGGAGGCCACTTTCTGCTGCCGGGCCATGGGACTTACAGGTTTTCACCAGGTTGGTATTGGGGTTCTGTTGCAGTAAAGTAGTCTTCCAGGAAACCCTGCAAATACTCAAATGTGGGGCGCTCCTCAGGGTCTTTTTTCCAGCAGTGAATCATAAGCTCATGCAAGGAGATGGGGCAGTCCTGAGGACACGGCATCCTGTACCCACGTTCCACCTGCTCCAAGACTTCACGGTTATTCATGCCTAAAAAAAAGAAGAGAGGTGAAGGCCCTTCTATCACAACAGCATTAAGATTAATCAACAGGGGAGGCACGCTCACTGTCATCTCATCTTTTGACTCAGAAATCATCTGCCTCTTTAATATACTTACCGTGTATTATTTTGTATTATCTATTTTGTTATTTGTGTATCTGGTAGTAATCTATGTGTCAGATAGCTCTACTAGATTATAAGCACCTTGAGGGCAGGACTATGCGTTACCTTTAAGTACATACTGTGGGCATTTAATAAGCATTTGTTGTATTGAGCTGAAAATTCATATTGTCTTGCCCTGAGCACAGAAATGGTCAAAGCGTGTTTCCTAGAACCCTAAACTCTGCCTTTAAATTCACTCATGCTGAAAACCACCCCGGTCCTTATTTATGACATCCATAAACTTCATTTATGTGCTCTGTAACAAGGCCTCCCTCATACCTGGGGCAGGTTCCTTCTGGAAGGCTGGGGAAGGTGGCTCTTAGTCGCCCCCTCCAGGCCCGCAGTCCTCTGGGGAATATCCTCAGGCAATAATTATAGTCTGGACCAGTGGAAATGAGGAAGAGAATTTCCCCTGTTGGTGCTGGTGGCTCTCAGGCCTGGCAAAAGGCTGGGCCCTAGAGACCCAGCTTTGACCTGGGGTTCAGTAACTTGGGTGGAGCAGACAGGGTGTCTCCAAGACCAGCTTTGCCTCTGTGACCTTTGCCTGGCCATCCATCATTTTGTGACCTTTGTGACCTTGGGGGTGGAGGAGGGAGGGAGGAGCTGCCTTGTTACTTAACCAACAGGTTTCTGGAGCAATTATAGTAGATGTTTTGAACTACTTTTTTCCAATCCTCTTAGGGGAAAATAAAAGAAAGAAACTTAAAAGCAAATTTGCCTTTTTAGTACAGTTTAGGAAATAACTTACTTACTGTGAGGTAGATGAACCACCCCTTCAGCTTCCACAGCCAAAGCCTCTACTATTCTCCATTTTTCTTCCCCATATCATGTTTTCTTATTTTTCTGCCAATCCGTTGTGTTTTTTGGCTACACTCTGCCCTCAGGTTTCTATTAAGAATCTAGTCCCTTTCTTGCCTGGTCCCGTTACTCTCTAGAACTAAGAAAAACTTTCATCTTAGATATGATCTTCGTTTTCTTCATCTGCCTTTCCATTTGGGGGTATAACGAGCACAGGGAAGCAACATCTGCATTTGGTTCATTTTATTTTGGAAAGATGTTGGTTACTGTCCAGTTAAGTAAGAACTTTATGGGTGGTTGATAATGAAAGTTCCATCAAGGTTATGATTGCATTCTTAAGCATCCACAAGTTTTGTTATAAGATCAAAGATCTGGAGTTACAGGAAAGCTCTGAGATCACTTAGTCTCATGCCCTAATTTTACAGATGAGGAACCTTAATTGCAGAGAGGTTATATTACTGGCTTAATGACACACAGGTCATAGGGACTCTTTCCCTGGAACTCTCTTCCCTCCTCATCTCCACTTCCTGGCTTCAAGTCTCACCTTCTACAAGAAACCTTTCCTGATTCCCATTAATACTGGTGCCTTTCCTCTTTTGATTATTGCTAATTTATCCTGTATATAGTTTGTCTGCACATTTGTTGTTTGCTTGCTGTCTCTCCCATTAGATTGTGAGCTCCTTGAGAGCAGGGGCTGTCTTTTTGCTTTTCCTTGTAGTCTCTTAGCTCTTAACACAGGTGCCTAGCATACAGTAGGCACTAAATAAATGCTTACTGACTTGACAAATAGACAATGGCAGAGCCAAGATCTGAACCCAGGTTCTCTGACTCCAGACCCAGTGCTCTTTCCATGGTACCACTGGCTGCCTCTCCTATATTTTTAGGAACATAAGAATTTTCATCCTGGGATAAACAGCCCAGTTTAGCATTCTGCTGCTAATATTGTCCACAAAAGCTGTGTTGGCAGAGGGAATAGTGATCCTGCCTGATATCAATAAAGCTTAGTTCTATTCCAGTCTCTCTTGGTAGCTGCTTATGGTTCCATCATTTGCAAATTTATCCAAACCCTTCTTGACTCCATTTAAATTTCCTGCCTGTACCACCTTCTGGGATAATGAGTTCCATAAGTTTCAAGAGCCTATGTATAAGCAGGAGTAACGTCATCCTAAACTTACTTCACTCAAGTTTCAAAGGCTGTTACCTCACCCTAGTACTTTGGGATATGGTGAACAAGTCTGTGTCCACTTTATCCATGTCATTCATGATTTTATAGATTCCTTTTTCATGTGAGGGTTAGGATTAAAAAGCATTAGTAATACAGATTATAAGACACATCTGAAGTTTGCTTCAGAGGAGGGGGCATTCTGAGGACAATAGAGGCTGGGGTCCTGGAGGAGAGTGGCTGTTTGGAGTAATGCTGATACTGCTGGACAGACTCCTCTCTCTCTCTCCTTCTCTTTCTCTCTGCCTCTCTCTCCCTCCTCTTTTTTCTTTGTGTCTCCCTCTCCATCTCTTCTTTTCTTTCCTTCTTTCTGCTTCTTTCTCTTATCTCTCTCTCTTCCCCTTTTCTGTTTCCCTCTCCCTCACTCTTTTTCTTTCTCCCTCTCTTCTTCTTCTCTTTCTTTCTTTGTGTATGTTTATCTCTCATCTCTCTGTCTTCCCTTTTTTCTGTCTTCTCCTTCTCTCTCTCTCTTTTTCTTTCTGTCTCTGTTTCTCTTTCTCGTCTTTTAAAAGGGCTAAAAAGTAAAAAAAAAAAAAAATATGATTGATGGCTGCTACCATCTTTTTCCCAGCCCAGCCTGGCCAAAGGAAATGTAATAATGATCTGTAAATGTGTATCATGATATGGCATCTCAAGGCTCCACTCTTTTCTCTATAAATAACAAATGTGGCACAAGGCAAAGTGCATACCGATTAAGATTTCCCCGACCATGCTGATAAAAGTTGGATAAACCTCATTTTGGGAGCAGGGCTATACAGAAAAAAGGGCTTTCATGAAGCCTGTATCTGAGACTATCTGGGGACCTCTCTTCAGATCAAGAGAACTTGATGTAGATTCTGTGTTTTGGCACGGAAAGTTTCCATTCCCTAATACACCACTGTGCTCAATTAATCATTTTCCTCCTGTGTCATAGAGTGGGTGTCAGTAAATGTTTCATTTCATTAAAAAAAAAATAAGCTCCTCTGATGGAGAGATTCCACATTTTCACTCTTAATCCAATCTCCTCTAAGAGAAAGTGTAATTGGTCGCTGGGGCCAAACACGATTCTCTGTTGAAGCTGCCGATGCGGCAGCTCAACCATTAAGACTGAGGTTCTCTTGAGATCTCCTACTTTGTTTAGGGGTCTCATTCGAAAGGCGGATTTGTAGTTGAGCATGCATTACAGGCAAGAAGGAAGCAAGACACTGTGAAAGGGATAGAAAGCCTACAGCCTTGGCACATAGCCCTTCCCTTGGCTGTTTGACGCTCAGGGAGTGTGCGTAACAAATTCCATACACCGGGGCCAAGTGGAAACACACTGACAGCTTCTGCCAGAAAAGCAGGATATAAAACAATGTACCTTGTTATTACTGACAATCTGAAGCTTATCTGGAATAGCTCTCCTCTCAGAGCCTACAAGTGAGAATCTACAGGCTGACCCTCAAAACCTGTTATGCTCAGCGCTTCCCACCTCTGATAATGGCAACAGAATTGATGCCCAATCGCTGAGAGATACTGGGCCTTTCAAAAAAAAAAAACCTACATGAAATAGCTGAATTAAGTAGATGCTGTCAAGATTCTTTTTTTTTTTTTGCTTTTTTTGGTGAGGCAATTGGGGTTAAGTGATTTGCCCAGGGTCATACAGCTAGTAAGTGTCAAGTGTCTGAGGGCAGATAAGATTTTTTTTTAAAGTCCTGTTTAAAAAAAAAAAAAATGGCATTCTTAGCAAGTTACCAGGCTCACAGATTTAGAGTTGGAAGGGGCTTTAGAAGTCATGGAGCCCCGCCCCCTCAGGAAACTGAGGCCTAGCATAGTTAAGTGACTTGCTCAAGGTCACATAGGCAGTAAATTGCAGGGCTGGAATTTGAACCCTGGTCTTGTGCCTCAAAGCCCTTTGTTCCTTCCCCTGTGCCACTCAAGTCAGAATTTTGGAGAATTTCGTGAAAAGATTTTTTGCAGCTTACCACTATACAACAAGAATGGATAGTTATATTTTCCCTCTTCAGATAACTCTAAATTCTTGTTTTCAAGAAAACGGCAACTTCTTTTCTCTTAGTCTCTAAGTGATACTGACACTGGGGGAAACTGGGGAGAGACCTGAGTGATGAAGGACTAGGGAAGGCGTGTGTATTTGCTTGAGACCAAGAGAAGCTAAGGAGGAAGAGGATGGGTGAAGAAAGGCAAATGGTAAAGTTTCTTCATTTTGCTCTTAAGCTGGGAAAAAAAAACTAGAAATTTGTCCCTTTTGCCTTTTAAAAAAAAATCAGAGAAAGACCAGGGGAGAAGATGGAACAAGGATGGGGTGAATTCAGAGAGCAGTCACTGAGCTTGAGAGCATTGTGACATTTTGTGGGAAGGAATCCAAATGTCTTAGGGAAGTCCTGTCATCAGCAGTTTGCAGGAACCAGGCTTGGGACTGGTAAGGATAACAGATCATTTTCTAACGTGAGGGGCAAGGCACACTAATCGATGATTACAAGATATACATTGGTGACTCTGTCCCTCGCTTCCAGGTGAGACGATCAGTCTGAGAGCTGAACACATAACTTCCCACTGAAAATGGCCCCCAACTTCATTGTATTTTCCTCTTTTCCATACACAAATCCTGACAAAATAGCAGCCTGACCCTCCTATTGTCTTTCTTCATTTAAATTAATTAAAATGGGCCTTTTTAAGAGGACTCCTTTCACAGGGTAAACCTCAGCAATACCACACTAGTATTCACATCACATATAATTGTAGGTCATACTTGGATTAGGAGTCTGGTAGGCATAGTTGGCTAGATCAAATCCTAACCTCCCTGAAGTCTTCTAATTCCTAGCATCAATTC